CAGAAAGTGGATTGACAAAGGCCGTAAATTACTTTATTGTGACAATTATGGGCATACAATCATTGTGCTCGCCGTTGTGTTCGCCAGTACGATTTTCTGAGAATATATCATATGGATGTATTGGTGGTACACCCAGTGCAGCATAACACAGCGTTCTTCACGAAACAGTCTAAAACATCAATTTCATCTGACATTCGTCTTCCGACTGCTTCGACGTCACGGGAACTGATTTTTACGCACCACCATCACCCCGCAAGATTTGCTGGCCGGGGTTGCGAATCGCAAGAAAATAAATAATGATTGCATAAAAACTGTTTTGCTTTTTAATACCGTGCACCACCGCTGTTCCGCCAATACGTTCAAGTCTCCTTGCCCCCACTGCCCCCCCCCCCCCCCCTATGCTGTGGAGTTCATCGTCATTATGCAGTCTCAGTGTAGCTGTTCCATTCTTGTATATTTTTTGTATCATTTATTTAATTTCGACGTTTTCATTGAGGTTTCGGTGTGCCATTAAATGACTGCATTTATTTCTGCCGAGTCAAACGCCTTTTCAATAACCTACAGAATATAGGAACAATTATACTTTATATTCATGAGAATCCTTTCCAGAGTATGATATTATTATATGGGCAATGGTCGATGGTAGAAAAGAGTGTTCATAAACTCAGTTTTCTCACGAGGCTGGATGCCCTCTAAATTCCAACATTTTCGGTCCACAATACTCTTTGGGAACAAATGACATGCGTGTGAGGTTACAAATGGTTCGGTACTTCTTTGAGTCCGTTTTGTCAATGTGTTTTTTTTGCTCGTAATGATCGAGACGTCATTCTATGATTGTGCTATTCCATTGCTGTGTAAATATTTGGTAGATAGGTCCACTAATTGTGTTTCAACAGCTAGTCCCACTTCTTTGATGGTGTCCACGGTTCCGCAATCTTGTTTCAGAAGCATTCCTTTTTGTTTCATACTGTTAACGGGAGTGAATTGGGAAATAAAGACATAATTGGAAAATATATTCATCATCTCCGATACCCCGAATAAATAGCTCACTTAAAATTGCAACGGATATGAAGGACTGGAAATGACTGAACATTTACAAAGGCTGAAATGTTGGGCTTGACGTTAATAGCAGAACAACTGTCATGGACAATAGGTGTGCGAAACAAAAGAAAATATGTACAGTGAGGGAAAAAGTATTTGATCCCCTGCTGATTTTGTACGTTTGCCCACTGACAAAGAAATGATCAGTCTATAATTTTAATGGTAGGTTTATTTGAACAGTGAGAGACAGAATAACAAAAAATCCAGAAAAATGCATGTCAAAAAATGTTATGAATTGATTTGCATTTTAATGAGGGAAATAAGTATTTGACCCCTCTGCAAAACATGACTTAGTACTTGGTGGCAAAACCCTTGTTGGCAATCACAGAGGTCAGACGTTTCTTGTAGTTGGCCACCAGGTTTGCACACATCTCAGGAGGGATTTTGTCCCACTCCTCTTTGCAGATCTTCTCCAAGTCATTAAGGTTTCGAGGCTGATGTTTGGCAACTCGAACCTTCAGCTCCCTCCACAGATTTACTATGGGATTAAGGTCTGGAGACTGGCTAGGCCACTCCAGGACCTTAATGTGCTTCTTCTTGAGCCACTCCTTTGTTGTCTTGGCCGTGTGTTTTGGGTCATTGTCATGCTGGAATACCCATCCACGACCCATTTTCAATGCCCTGGCTGAGGGAAGGAGGTTCTCACCCAAGATGGTACATGGTCCCGTCCATCGTCCCTTTGATGCGGTGAAGTTGTCCTGTTCCCTTAGCAGAAAAACACCCCCAAAGCATAATGTTTCCACCTCCATGTTTGACGGTGGGGATGGTATTCTTGGGGTCATAGGCAGCATTCCTCCTCCAAACACGGCGAGTTGAGTTGATGCCAAAGAGCTCCATTTTAGTCTCATCTGACCACAACACTTTCACCCAGTTGTCCTCTGAATCATTCAGATGTTCAATGGTAAACTTCAGACGGGCATGTATATGTGCTTTCTTGAGCAGGAGGACCTTGCGGGCGCTGCAGGATTTCAGTCCTTCACGGCGTAGTGTGTTACCAATTGTTTTCTTGGTGACTATGGTCCCAGCTGCCTTGAGATCATTGACAAGATCCTCCCGTGTAGGTCTGGGCTGATTCCTCACCATTATCATGATCATTGCAACTCCACGAGTTGAGATCTTGCATGGAGCCCCAGGCCGAGGGAGATTGACAGTTCTTTTGTGTTTCTTCCATTTTGCGAATAATCGCACAAACTGTTGTCACCTTTTCACCAAGCTGCTTGGCAATGGTCCATTCTAGCCTTGTGTCTACAATCTTGTCTATGACAAGGTCTACAGTTGTGCAACTGTATGAGCATAATTCAAAAGCATTGCTGAACAGCCTCTGTTATTATTTTCACCCATTATTACTGAACGGTAACAACAGCATAAACATGTTAATAAAAAACCCACCATGTGTTTTAATTACGGCTGTGTTCACGAGCGATGTAGTATTTGCAATGCCGATCACGGTTTTACCCATTTTAAAAGAGCAATGCGTTTATTTTTCATTTAAATTCTATTTAAAAAAAAAACAAATTTAAATGTGATGCTGCCAAAGTTGTTGTCATGCCCTTAACCGGGAATCTGACTGCGGCTGGCCGTAGCCCTCAATGCCGCGCGGCTCGTGTTTGATTTCAGTGTTGTGAGGGAGTATCGCGTTCGGGCGCTTCTTGTATTATTTACCCTCGTTCACAATCGCCGCCGCCGCCGCGCGCGTCAATAATTCACGATTGTTCCTGATTAAAGCGCCGGTGGGGGGGTGGCGGTGTTGGTTTTCGTGGCGTGCCACGGCGCGCGCGCATCGCTCGCCCATGGTTTGGGCAGCGAGGGTGCGGGGGGGGGCAGTTGTGTGGGCTGCTGTGTATGTGGGGGTGGTGGCTGTGTATGTGGGGGTGGTGGCTGTGTATGTGGGGGATGGTGGCTGTGTATGTTGGGGGTGGCGTGGCTACCGTGCCCCGTCGTGAGTCAACCGGTCGCAGCGCGCGTTTCGTGGTCTCTGCCCAAGAGGAGACTTTGGTATCGCGTCTGTGGGCGTCAGCGCTTTGCTTCTTTCAGTCCCCAGGTCTGATAAATCAACACATGTGAAATTAGTTTTGTTATATTTATCTTGTGAAACAAAAATGAATCCGATGCCATGTGGGTATTCTCGCCCCCACCACTGCCAGCGAGACGTGGTGGAGATGTGTTTGGTGCAGTTAGCTTGGCACGGGGATTTTAAATATGGTGAGAGACAATTGCGACAATTGTGGCGGATACTTGGCAGAAATGCAGAGAGAAGAATTTACATACAGATGAATTGAACAGCATGTTAAATAAAACGTGCATTTATTCATTTAAAAGGGTTCAAAAAACATACATACAAATAAAGTACATGCTACATTTCAATATTAAAAACCATGTACATTATAATGGGAAAACACGTGAATAGGATTAATTAACACTACAATTGTACAATGCATAACACAAAAATGATAGATTACTACGCACAATACATGCTCTTGTAAATGAATTATTAAAAATAAATACGATACATGCAATATGTAAATAAAGTAAAAGCAAAAAAATATTAAATACCTTTGAATTAAAATGAAGTGGATCTAAATAAAATGTTTATGCTAAGTAGAATGTCTGGGGATTACTGCTGTGGTCGAGCAGGAAATTATTGCAAGTTAGTTTTTAAACAAACAAAAAAATTAATGTTGCATGTACCTCGTATGTAACATCTATGGTTGTAAGTTCATCCTAGCCTCTGGTGTGTTCAATGAAGTCACGTGGGCTTTAAATGCATTACCAATGGCGGCATCTTAGCGACAAAACTTTACAAGAAGCAAACGCATGGCATAATATTTGTACGGAATTTAAAATCAAGTATTGACTTAATCAACCTATTTTTATTTTTGATACTGCATTGAAAGTTGTTCATAAGCTTAAATATCAAACAAACAACTCAACATAATTGTCAAGGGGAATCATATATTAAAAAGACGTTTCAGGGAATAGCTCTTCTTCATAGCACGGAGTTGGAGGCCACGGAGGTTGAGCGAATAATAATAGTTGGAGACTGCAGTGCATACCATGGGGCTCTGATAGAAATGTTATTTTAGGAATGTTATTAGATGAACAGAATACAATTGTCATAAACACCTGTCCATCACTCGGCCTTCATCAGATCTGGACTAGTGGGTTTAGGGTGCAGAGTGATGAGTACACGCTGATGATGATGGTGGTGGTATGTGGCTTTTGTGGAAACTCAATGGAGGACTTGTGGACTGTGACTGGTCACGTGCACGGTTTTGGAAACAAAACTTCAAGTCATCCATCCGTCCGCAACCACGCGAGAAAGGTCATGTGACCATTCTCACCTTTCACATGATTCATTTTGAGAGAAAAAAAAGTGTCGAATATTCTGTTGTTTTAATGCAACATAAAGCGTGATATACGTGGCTACTCGTTAATGTAAATGTAAAATAATAATAAAAAATGCAAGACTTTGGATTTTGCTGCAATTGATGTTTATTGGAGATGAGAGGACTTGGATCAGCGCATTTCACAGCTGTAGTTTGACCTTTGTAAGCCACAGCAGGGGGCTTTGTTGGGTGGGAGCTTGGGTCTTGAGTGGAGGGTGGCTACACGGAAATATTGCAGGCAGGACTGTTGTACAAATGTCGCGTGAGGAATTACGCTGCACGAAGCAACCTCATAGCCAAACAATCTTACTTGCTTTCTCGGTTTAACAAATTATCTCTCACATAACAAAAGTTTGTATTAAAATCTGATATTTAAAGATACAGCATCTGGTTCCGCCATAGTGTAACAGATGGAATTTAATGGCAGATATATTACTTCACATTCTACTGATGTGGTTGAAGGGAGTTTGCAATATGGACATTTTCTGTTTGTGTTTCTCACTCCACCTTTAGGTTTTTCGCTGGGAGGTTGGAACCCCAGTCGAGGGCCATGAGATGCTGGAAATTCAAGTCTTCAACTTCAGCAAAGTGTTCACAAACAAGTGAGTACACGTTTATGTTTTACATACAAAATAACAAATCAGCAATCTAGACTCTCAGAAGAAGTACTGCTGGTGAGCTCCTGTTAAGAGCGAGTAACTCCGCATGAGCAGGTGTTGCGGCCAGCTCCGTGCCTGGCTACTTTTGTCTCTCCGGCACGAATAATTGAGGCTGACATGACAAAGTGGAGTTCTAGTCCAAGGTCACAAACCAATTGTTAGTGACGTGCGTGGCCAGGAATCTGGTCAAGGCGAATAGAGACCGAGCTCATAGTGCTCACTGCCGAAGTAACCAGCTCAAAAGTGTCTGCATAATCTTCAGGCACGACATCCCATTGCCGTCAATGTCAATACGTTGTAAAACATAACATGAATATAATAAGATGACTAAAACAAGAAGGAGCGGCACCATGTAGGCATCACTGGCAAAAAGAGCATGATGAACTGTTACGTTAAATTGAGCTTTGGCACAGCGCGTAACAAACTCCACCATGAACCCATTAACCTGGGTTCAGTTTCTCGGCCATGGCTAACGTCAGCGGTGAGTGATACCAGACCCGGTCCTGGGCACCCACCACCTGCACCAACCTGCACCGACCAGCATGGTGAAGTGTGGTCAAACAAACCTCCACAACGGACATGGCATGGATACATCTTTGTCCAGTCGTTGATTGACGATGTGTTGAACTTAACTTTACATTTTATTGGGTCGAACATTGTGAATTTTGGACTCGAACTTACGTTCTAAGCAGAGGAATATCGGTATTTTAACTATGGTGCTATGGAAATATGTTAAAAAATAGCATAGATGAGAAAGTGCTCATGCCGCTATCTGAATAAATAATGCCTTGCGCAAAGGAATGGATCAAATCAAACTAGCTACGACAGACTACACGATAGGCAATCAAGTGAAAAAATATTCCAGGACATTTCAGTTTGAAAAATCGAGGGGAAAAAATATGAAAGGCCGACAGAAACGATGTGCATGGACAATGATAAAGGAATAACCAATTCTGGAAAACTCACAGAAATATATCAAAATCGTGAAAGGAAATGTTTGGGATGAATGGCAGGAGCTCGTCGTCAATCTTCAAATCAAGAGAAAACAAATAACAATGATGATGAAAACAAAACTTCATTTGTTTAAAAAAAAAATCCACACTCATTTCCGCAGACCGACCCATGTCCACGGTAAGCCACGGCACTTCAATGAGATCGTTTCCATGGCATGGCCCCGCTCTCAGTGCTCATGAGATAGGGGTGCCTCTTGGACAAGTCTCCGTAGAACACGCAAACACGAGGGTGGTGGGGGGGGGGAGATGTGGGGCACGCGTTGGCATCATCGTTCACGGCCACGTTGAGCGTCACGCACGGGAGCGTAACAGCGTCACGAGAGCGGCATCGTCGTTTATTATTCCGCTGGCCCAGCCCCACCGTCTGTGCCCATCAACGCTCCCCGCTCCTCGCCGACGCCGGGACCGCGAATACAACAGGCTCTCCCACAAAGATGTTGCTCTCGCGCGTGCACAGATGGCTCGATCACCCCCGAAAAAGCTACGATGTTCATGGCAGAACCGATTTGTCTTTTGTGATGTTGACATTTTCGCAATGTTCCCATAATGTTGCCGTGTCAATACTAAAATGGGAACTTAATGGACTCGCACACGCTTCATTGGCCGTTTTTCCCTGATCTGAAAATAAGTGGATCTACTTCAATAACCTACAACTATATTAAGCAAGCTTTGGGTTGTTTGTTTTTATTGTTTCAGAGACAAATATAGGCATGTACAGTGTTAAATAATCACTTCTTAGCCAATGCTCGTATTTTATATAAATCACAGAAAGATGAATTTACCACGTAGTAGGCTTTCACGGCAAATGTTGTGGTTCGTAATTTATTTTTTGGGTCAAATCGCGCAAATGAAACGCCAATGTGTGTCGTTCACCCTTCTCCACCCGACACCACCAAATAGAGTTGTCACGTTAACACATGCGCAAACGTGTTGCTTCAACACACCGGTATGTTGAAAATCTATAATATTTAATACTTAGGAATTCAACTCTGGCAAATGCCTGATGATGCTGCTTGTAACTACCAGATATCTGTCCTACCGAATTGTTCAGGTATGTGTGAATCGGCTGTCTAAGAGGAGGAGGGTTAATGATGCACATTGGCAACTGTTTTCACGCAATATCTGCCAAAAACAAATTTCAATCATGTACAATGGAAATGCACTTTGATCAACGGGTGATATGACCATACAAATGTTGACTGGTATTTATCAACTCGTGGTAGTAACTGCAAAGCAATAGCAGGAGTGAAGGGGGTTAGTACATTAGTTGTGCAGCTGGTAAGCAGTTTTGTAGTTGCGAGATGTTAACTACCTCGCCTGGTATACAGGCGGTCGTGGCTTCGATCCCGACCCTGATGCCTGTAATTTTTGGAGTTCGCATGTTCTCCCCGTGGTCGCGTGGATTTTTTTTCCGGATCTTCCGGTTTTTCCCTCCACATTTAAAAAAAATGTGTTTCTAAATATTATAAATTTCCACGTTATCAGCCACTTATGAAAAAGAGCTACATAATTCAGTGGGCCTTACCTGGTAAAATAAAAAAAAATAGTTCATGGTTTAGTTTAACGACTTAATGGACGAATACATGAATATTATTTGTTGAAGGTTATTGTCTTGCCTTAATAATGTGCGATTTCAGAGCCCTAAGAATGTCCGTCCCGCTTGGAGAGGAGCAGAGCTGCGACTCACAATGCCACTTATGATCGTGTTTAATTTCCACTCAGGGTGGTTGAAGCCTTTTCCGTTTAGCCGCCGCCGCGCCCATCGCGGTGACATCGCAGTTAAACGGCCATGATGCGCGGTTCGCGCTCGTTATTAGCGGATCGATAGCGTCGGCGTGAAGTGTGAGAAACCCCACTTGTTTACTGACTGCCTGAACACCGTGAATTATTGCCCATTGTCCCTTGACGGACAATGACCCTCCTCTCATCGGTCGTGGAGGTGGCATTTTTTTTTCAGTGGCTGCCGCTGGTGGGATGTGTGTTTTGGGGTCCTCGCAATTGGAAGCACGGACAGCATTAATTAGGCAGTGGTAGGAGGACTTTTTTCGTAATGGGCAAGCTTCTCATCCTTTTATTGCCCTCTTCATCAATCACACACTTTACGTATATTATTGGAATCGTCGCTAATGCAAGCATAAAAATCATCACAACCATTAATAATTAGCATCATTGTCAACATCATTGTGTAGACGAAGTCGGGTACACGTGAGTAGGGTTGCTGGAGGTTTGGCTGTATTCACAAACTTACAGATATTACACCAACAGCAGTCAACTCGTAGCGAGATCTCCCATCCCTTACTGTACTCTCCTTAGCCTCTCCTTCTAGAACCTTCTAGACTCTAACTCGACACCTGCCTAAATCCTAAACTGCCGCCTAAATCCCCTTTGAAGTGGACATCTGTGAAACTACTGGACATCTGTGAAAAATAGTTTTATAGCTCATTGGATTCCTTCAGTATAAATACATATTCTGATTCTGATGGAATCCCCAAGCCAAGCCAGTGCTCGCTGGTCAGACAGACCATCGCTCATTAATGAGTCTTCCGCCTAACCAAATAACCAATGGGTAATGACCAATTCACGTAATAATATATTGTCTTCGACATCCATGACAAATGTTAACGTCATCATCAGCAATGTTATTGTAATAATCATGTCGTTACCATCTTCATTGACTGATCATTACAAATACCTTGGGTTTCATATTGATGCTACCTTATCATTTCATATGCATAGTGATCAGGTTCAGTAATAAAAAGAGTGAAATGTAAAGTTTGCTTCTTGTACAGAAACAAGCATTGTCTTTTAATTCGTAGACAGATTATTGAAGCTATATACTTTCCGTTATTTGGCGACTCTGATGTAGCATATCAGATTGCTTTTTCGGTAAACTTGAACTTATCTCGGTTTACCGTGCTTCATTATGATTTGCAGTGAATGTTCCATACAGGACGCATCACTGTGACCTCCTCTACGCCATGGCTGGGCAAATGTCCTTGGGCGCGAGAAGGCATTTTCACCGCAGGGCTATTTCATTTAAACGGCCATTGTCCGTAGATCTGCTCTATATTTGTCTGACCTGTTTGTTGGTATTAACATCGGACGGACATCTGCAATGCACGTATGGTTGTCTCTTAATATTTCCAAAATTTCGTACACAATTTGGATCAACAGCATTCAATGTCGCTGCTGCCGCAAAGTGTTTGGAATCACCACTGAGTTTCGTCTCTTGGCATCTCATTTTCCCATCTCTGTCGTCATTTAAACTGACTTTTTTTTATTAAAAGCACTGAAAGCTTAATTGTGAATGTAATTGTTACAGCGTGATTGCTCTTATCAAGTGTGTTTGCTTGTTACTTTTTTAAATCTGTAATTGTGGAATTCTTCGATGTTGTCTGCCGGCCGAGTAACCCTTGAAAAATAGCTCCTTAGCTCACTGGGCTTTACTCAGTGGGAAATAAACCTCTGATTCTGATCTTCATAATCTTCAATTGTACCTGCTCGAGGGGCAGTTGGTGGCCGGAGGCCGGGACTCGGGTGGTGTTCGAACACAAAACCCCCATCGGAGGGGGCATGAGGCTTCGTGTGACCAATGAGCTTACACCCTGCGTGTGGTCATACCTCCCCTATGGGGCCCTCGCAAGACATTGCCAATGCGCATGTGTATTGGTTGTGTACATACATAACTGTACCTATATATATCCGTCGTGTACTTGCACGTGTAACGCACTGCGTTGCGAACACGTCGACCCGGGTTCGATTCCCGCTCACGGCCAACACCAGTGACGAATATTTGCACTGGTCCTGGGCCTCCCCTTGGTCGACTCAGCCTCAAATGAGCACCTGGTGCGGTGTGTAAAACATCGCCGATAGGGGAGACAAAGGTGGCCGGGCATGGCTTTGGCCACCCACCCACTCGTGTTGACGTAC